ATGAGCCAAAATTTTGGTCGAAACTCATTTGATTAAAGTCATAGTGATTGCTGAATACGGTATGTTGAACAGTCTCCTACTTAGTATGTGCACAGAAACTGTAAATTTGTGAAAGAACCTTATACGGTAATGTTACTGTAACCTCCCACAACTCAAAAAAATACAGTAATGTAGTCTTTAGTGATCAGAGAGCATGCGCGCAGAAGAGACGTAGATGCGGTGCGGGTGCGAGCGGTCGCTCATCCAGCCGCCTATCCTAATGAATCAAAGAGTACGCAGAAAGCAAATTTTTGAAACATCACACAGTGCCTTATGGTGGTTTTGCTTGAGTGAAATACGATAGATTAACTGTAGGCATCTTTTTTGTATGCAAATATGTAAATTTGAGAAAAACGGTAATCCGCAAAAAATGTTTGAAATAGCCTTTTTGATCCTCTTACCTTATCAATCCGGATATTCTTCTCGTCTTCGACATTGACAATATAGATGCGATCCGAGTTCAAGCATGGCAATATTATGTGCGTTCTAAAATGCTTGGAAATCACTTAAATTCATTTTTAGAATTCGTGAAAAAAGTTTAGAACAATACCGTCTCGCTGACGGTTTGTCATAGCACGACGAGCAAGCATTCCACCCGCTATGGTGTACTTCATCACCATTGTGTGGAAATACAGCTTTGGACAAGATCTAGAAAAAGAAATATTAATAATTATTTGTCCTACCGTAATCCTCTATTACCGTACCTGACAAAACGTCTCGCTATCAGGATCAACATCAATGGCGGCTAGCATATCATTACCAGAGCCATCGGCATGAGGGCATGTCACAAAAAGAACCTGAACATCAATATCTCTTGGCTGAATCCAAAATCCTGAAAAATGACACCTTTTCTTTTGGTGCTTTCATAGCCTCGGCAGGACTTGCATATCCAGGACCGCAGCATTTTCTATTTTTGCAGGTCATACTGTAAAAAATTATCGTGAGAAGTGAAATATACGATCCAAGACTAGTATTGTTTTGGTAATAAGACTTCAATAGGTAAAGTTATTCGCAGTGCATATGACTTTAAAACAGGAAATCTCAAGCACAAAGCAGTGTTTTACTTGTATGCATCAAAAAATGAACTTATTTTGTACTACATTTCCGATTCCGCATAACATTTATTTTTTTAAATTTTTAAAGGAACAGGTAGACGGTTTTTTGTTACATTTTTTAGCCAACTCGATGATTTTTGAGGATCTTGATTTGTACGAAGCTGAAACGTCAAAGCGATAATAAAATTAAGACTATGACTTGAAAATTAGGGAATTTGTTGTTACGACAAATAATCTGCGACGAAAATATCTCCACAATCAGTTTTTCCAAAAAAAATTAGGCATAGTTTTTTCAGTAATTTCATTACATACCTAGATAAAGCGTCAAAAAGGACAAGCTCAATAAAACAAGTTTTGATAATCTTAATAAATTTTTGATCTCACCTTAGGACCGCCCATACATAATACTTTC